AAGAATATTATTATTCGTCGTGCACAATATCAGCAATAATTTCTTTTCCTTCCTGACCACTTGAAGCACACAAGCACATACCCACTTCAGCCTGGGCAACACAGCCCTGTGTGACAGTCACTGTGGAAACCAGGGACTGAATCAAAGTAGCTTTAAAAAAGGGCTGAGGAATTTGAAGGAAAAAAAAGAAAGGTGGAAGTCGGGGTACAAAAAAGCTGACAGGGGGTGCTGTTCCCTGGTGCTGAGCAGGCTCCCGGCATCAGTGACTGAGTCTGGGGACACAGGAGAGCAAAGGGCAGCCCTGCACAAATAACCAGTGCTCTGAGCAGCCAGCAAAGGGTTAATGTTTGCTGTCTTTGCTCAGCCCTGGGTAGACATGCTCCCGCTAATTTTCAGCTCTCCTCTCTAACACTTAGCTTAGAACTCAGCAGAACTGGGTTTTGTAGTGTTTGAGTAGACATTTGGCAACTTGTGAAGTGTCAGATGAGCACTGGTGAATTTGAGAACGAGGGTGAGCGCTTGTGTCAGAGAAGGAAAAAATCTTCGCAGCAGAAAGCACTCTCTAACCTGAGACTGGAGGTACCTGAAATAAAATAACTTCAAACTAGTCTGTTCCAATTACATTAAAAGCCAAATCCTGCACTGCTGACACTTTACAAACTTTACAACTATTGAAATCTGGCTTCAAGAGTCTGGCTGCACACTTGAGACTTAATCAATATAAACTGGATGTGGTAAAGGTTTAAATCATGGCCTAAATATAATTTACCATGAGAGAATATGGCTGAAAAGTCCAATTTGAAGGGCCAGCAAGGGAAAGGGGCCAGCTGGTAGGTTCAGCAGAGCAGGAATTCCTCCTCTGGAGAGGAGCCCCAGCCTGTGGGGTGGCCTGTCCTACACCAAGGCTTTGAAAGGCAGATGCAGTGAGGATCCTCCTGCACTGATTCCTGGGTAAAGAGCCCCTGCTGTGGGGTGTTACACTGCAGAGAAATGCACAGGTGCAAGTGTTCAGCTTTCCTGCCTTTTTTAACACCACTGGGACATAGTCCCTTCACTACACATTCTCATCTACATGATAAAACACTTGGTAAATCTAAAACATTATTCACTGGACTATTGTTAGGGAATTTTAGATTTATCACTGCTTCTACTAATTCAATTTAATCTATTAATTTACCTTCTATTAATTTATCAAAGCTTTCTGGGTCGGGTGGGTTCTTTTCCCCCCTCATCTGCAAAGTGTTCAATGCTGACAGTGACGGAAACCTCACAGGAAGCATTGACAAGGTTTGAAAAATAATTCTGGAGCCCTTGTGTTGCTAAGGAAGCTTCATCAGTAGAACCAACGATTTGAGATTGTTTTCTCAGCAGTGCATGAGATAAATGAGAACTATTTCCAGATTCAGTAATTTTGAAATCTGAAGAAACGATCTTATCAGTCTGCTGGCCACCCTGAATGGAATGAATCAAGAAAGATTAATAGGCAACAGGGATACCTGTTTTCCTTCAAAGCAAAAAAAGCCCTGCAAAAGTATTTTATGCAGCTGTTTTTACCTACTCCATTTTGCATTAAATATAAAATCTCTATGTTTTATGTAACCAGCTTTTCATTATACACTGCTAGGACGAGCAAATTGGTTTACAAAATGAAAAAAAAGGTGAAATTTATTTAATCAGAATAGAAGACCCTGTATGAGGTCAGATCTGGTAGAATATTTAATGTATGCTTGGGTATCTTCCAAACTTTTCCCAGAGGATAAAGGAATCTCTCAGGAAATCTTCGTTTACACAGTTTTAACCTAAGATGCAGCTGTTTTACAAGTAGAAGGAAATCTTCTTTTTCACCAGCTGCAAAATTTGACTGTTTCTAGATTCACCATCCTCAAATATATGATGAAAACATTTAGGACTGAAAATACAAATATTTTAAACACAAAAGTCTATGTCTTAATACAAACATCAACCTTTGTTTGTTGAGTCTCTTCCCTATCTATAGTAAGCCCTGATTATATTTATTAAATATGAAGTATTCCACTTCCTTAGGAGCAGGACTGGGTCCATGGAGCAGTAGTGGCAGGTGATATTTTCCTGTAGCTGCAGCATTCCTGAACCATCCGAGGGGAATACATGACACATATCTGTGTAGCTCAATTTAATGTGCCTGGTTAGACAAGCACAAATGTTCATGTGCAATGCATTTGCAGCATGTAGATATTTGTGTCATAGTATCTTACACAGTACATATTTGAAAGGTAATTGGAGTGTATGAAATCTTTTAAATTGATCATCAGAATGCGTAGAATACTTTTTAAACAGAACAAAAATCTGCTTGTTTTTTAAGTTCAGAAGTTTAACTAAGTTACACAACAGTATATTTTGGTAATGATAGTTACTGAGTAATTAAAACAGTTTCTCAATTAAGAATCTATTATTTTTATTAGAATTATAATCTTTAATTTTAACTTCAAATCTTGTTTGTACAATATTATCAGTCATAATCCCATTGTAACAGTAATTGATGTGGTGTGCTATTCAGCACTTACCAATTTTCAAAGAACATTTGACTGAGTCACAAATAAAACGTCTCCAGGTTGAAAGTGTTTGTACCCTGTGAATCTGATTTGGAGAGTTTAGGTGATTTCCTTTGCCAATAAAAATAGATCACATTTATTTTTGGACTCTCAACACTACATTTCTAATTCTCAGACAGTTCTACGAATCACTGATTATATTTCTAAGTCTGAGCTTCAAGAACACACAGGCACTGGGCAGCTCCTCAGCTGGTGTAAGTCGGCAGAACTCTGCCCTCAGCTCAGCTGGCCTTGTGCAAGAGTTCTCTTATGCTTTTAGGCAATTCTCTTTTTCAATGCTTTGATTTCCCTTTGCTATTTCTCACCTCTCTGGAGTAATTTCAGACTACCAGTCCATGAAGGCCTGAGTTATTTTGGGGGCCAGCTTATTTGTTACTCACAGTTTTTTCCCCCCGTGGGACAATATGATGTAGGCTCCAAGCGTTGGTTTGCTTTTATATAAAAGAATTAATCTGATCAAAGTGCTCCAAATATGCTCTGTGCAAACAAACTCCTATAAATCTCAAAGCAGGACTTAATCTGTGCCCTCCTTTAGCTTTTTTCTACCCCTGGTTTGTAGGTGTGTTTTTCTCATCCACATTTCTGTCATGTGGTACTTATTTCCATACGTAAACACGTGTATTTTTTTCCATATAAATGATCTTGGTGTATGAATTCTTACATATAAACTAGTCCACAAAAACCTAAATGGGAAGGTTCTGATAATTAATATGACAGTAGATGGCTGTTTCCTCCCTTTGATTGCAAAAGAAATGGCCAATTCTTGGCCAACAAATCTCCTTCCCACGTAGGAGTTATCTGTGTGTGTGTGTGTGAGCACGTGTGTGTGTGTGTGTATTTTGGAGTCAGTCACGTTCTTTAGGCACTGAAAGCACATCCTGTTATGATGAGGAAACAGCAATTTGATTGTGTCTTGAAGCAACAATACATAATTTTGGAAAACTTTCAGTGACAGTCACCAACAGATTATCAGGCAGCGCTTCCCTAAAGGCACACACACAGCCCGGCCACAGGATTGGAAGGTTTTCAGAAATCCACAGTCCATGGAGAAATTCGCCCACTTTATTACATTGTCACAGGAATTTGCCTTTTCTTCTGCAGTCCCAGACTGGTTTGGGTTGGAAGGGACCTTAAAGCCCATCCAGTCCCACCCCCTGCCATGGGCAGGGACATCTTCCACTAGCCCAGGTCACTCCAAGCCCTGTCCAACCTGGCCTTGAACAATTCCAGGGATGGGGCAGCCACAGCTTCTCTGGGCAACCTGTGCCAGGGCCTTACCAATAGCAAGCTTAACTTTAAGTGAGGTTTAAGTACTCTTGCCTAAAGGTTGGAGTACACCTTCCTTTTAGGATGTAGCCCTTTGGTTTAGGGGTACATCTTGGGGTACAGATACATTTCTAACCATCCTCTTTTATTTCCCTTCCCAATCCTACCTCCATTCTTTTCATTAGCTTGTTTGGGGGGTGGTGTGTTGCCAGGTTTCCATTTTTGTCAGGTACTGTCATATAAAGAAAAACTAATGTAAGGTAAAAAGTAGATGCCTTTAAAAAGGTAACAATAAATCATTCAAAGTCTGTCAGTTTGCTGCACAGGCTGCCTGAAGAATAGATTTAATGGATCTACATACAACAGAGATTTTCTATATTGCTGAAGTTTTCTTATCTGGCAGAGCTTTGCATCATTTGGAACCAGTTCTATATCGTGGGTAGACTCTACTGATTTCTGTCAAGGAGTACTTTGGTTGTGGGGGAGTCCATGTATATATTCTCTATAAGTGTTTCTTGATATATATTTTGAGACACAAAGCCTAAGAATACAGCACAGAATGTGACAATGCAGAATACAGAAAGAAGCTGTTGGTTACCATTTGTATTTTTAGACTCCTCATTTCAGGAGAATGCCAGAAGCAAAACTTCAGCAGTCAGATCCAACTGTATTATTCCTCATGACATATAAAATAGTGAGACAGTTTCACAAACTAGATTAAGAATCATAGTTTATATTGCTGCATGAAATTGTTAAAATCGCATAGAAATCTGTACTGTGGATCATAAGTTAATGTAAAAACTCCAAGCTATTTTTTTTTCACTTTGTCTGTTTAAGCTACCGGGCAAGTTGTTGCATGAATAAATTTATTTTCTTCCTCTGAAACTGTATAATATTAAATGCTGTGTTGTTGGCATAAAATATAAGTTGATCAGACAGACAAAGATTATTATTCTGACAACTGTATACACAAGGGTATCGTTGTACATTGAATTTCAGTGTGTAATATGGTATAAATCTTCATGAGAGATTCAACTTTTATTGGCTGCACAGAAGGTGCTTTTCCTTATTAAATACGGGAGACGGTCCCAGGGGATTTTTTTAGAATATCTTTATCCATTTTTTTTTTCAGCTACTCTCTGGGCCCTGGAAGGCTGACAGATACAGCGGGGTAAGCAATTCCCTTTGGAATGCCTTTGGAATGCTTGGCTGTAGATACAGTCGTGCTTTAGCACTGAGCATCTGTGATGTTTTGCCTCAGCAGAACCCAGCAGATCCCACCTTTCCCATTCCATGTGTGTCTGCTCTGCCTGCAGGACACCAAAAGGCACCTTAATTCAGTGAAATATTACCAATGAAGCACTAAAATAACTGTGGATCTGCACTTCCAGCCGACTGTTGTCAGTCTCTCGTTACAACTGCTGAGGGTTTTCGGGGCATGGGGACCCTGACAGACCCTCTCACTTCTGGGCACTGCACAAAATGAAGGCATAAGGGCCTAAGAGCCCAACTTCTTGAATTTAAACTACTTGGACTATTTTCCTGGCCAATGCAGGTTTGTCATCTCTTCTGTGCCTAGAATTCCATAAGGATGTCTGTGAGGATGTCACAAGCCAAAGGCTGTATCTGTGTGTTTAATCACCCTAGACAGCCTAATCTTGATTTATTTAGCTGTTCCTTATGCAGATTATTCAGTACAACCTCAAAAGCTTAGAATTAAAAGTACATTTTTCTAATGTTAAATGATACTTGATTTGCAGTCCTTAATTTGTCCCTGTAGATTAATATGTTTCATTGTCAAGAAAGACACCACTGCAGAGTTAAAGAAAATTATGACAATTTCCACTGTCTTTTTCTAGTTTATTCTCTGCCAATAAAATCACCAAATACATTATTCCCATGGCTTTGACCTCACTTCCATTTCACACATGGCCACTGATGTAGGTGCAGAAGTCTTTGGGCAGGAGGTGGGAACAGGTGACCTCCCGAGACCTCATCAATGTGAATTATTCTATCAGTGGGTAAAATCTAGAGTAATTTCCTTCAGTGAGAGCAAAAACATATATGCATAATTATAAACCTGTTTAAACCTGCTTTTTAACAGGCAAGCAAATGCCACCACAGATTTTCTGCATAGACAAAGCTCGTGAGTTTTCATCAGAGCCTTCCTCTCTATGGAACCAGCTCTCCAGCACAGCAAGCAGGACACTGAGCATTTCTGTGCTCCATTTAATCCCACAGCCACTTGGCCAGGAGCACCAGGCTGGTGGCCAAGCAGTGTTTGTGGTTCAATGCCGCTGGGAAAACCTGGAATGAGTTTGTGGTGTCCTTTCCCCACTCCACCTCCCACCAAAAGGACATCGGGCTGATTGTTTTCTTTTTTTCCTACCTGGTGAAACGTGCTGACATTATTTGTGAAATGAATAAGTGATACAGGATAGCTGTAGGTTTTATGTAAGAGGCTGAACATCTGCAGACAAAATAAAAAATTTTATTTGTCTCCCTCTGGCCTTGTATAGTTCAAACAGACAACTGTGCCAGGATTTTAATATTTCCAAATATATGGCGAAAAAGGCACTTACCCTAAATCACACAATGTGTGAGCAGGAGCACAGACAGATCAACTCACGCCTGACTGAGCAAACAAATCAAGAGCATTGGGCTGGAGAAGAGAACTGGGAGCAGAGGCCTGAAGAACATGGGGAAGGAAGAGCAAGAGGAAGAAAGTTCTGGGAGTTGTGTCGGTGCTGGGGGAAGAGGCGGCTGTGAGACCCCCCAGTGAACTCCCTGGTCTTTGGCTGGGCTGGAACAGCTCAAACCAGCAGCAGCTGGACACAAACACCCGAATTTTCCTGGAATCACTTTGTGGACAAAAGCATGGGATGGTGATTTTGCTCAGCCTGAAGGTGGAAGTGGGGAGAGAGCACGAAGTGGGGGGGATCGCTCGGCTTTTCTGCCCCGTTCCCACAGCCACGACCCAGAGAATTCCCTCACAGCAATGCCAAAGGTTTGGGCTGAGGATCTGCACTGTTACAGAGCCAACTGTAATCGAAATTTCAGGGCAGGTTTTGGTGAGAAAGACCCTGACCCCCTCAGCTCTAAGAACGAAGAAAAGCAGGCTTAAAAGCAAAGGATCCCCTATGGTGCCTCCAAATGTCCAACAGCAGTTTATCACCGCATTAGAAATTCTAAGAAATAAGTAGCAAATAATGAAGACTTCAGGTTTAGTGCCCTCCTAGATGATAAACCAGTTTCAGGAGTGAAGAGAATATTTTACAAAAAAAACCCTCAAACTTCAAACAACGGCATCACCAAAGAACAAGTACCAATGGATTTGTATATCCAGGAAAATGACTCCAGAAGGAAGACTTTCTAAAATTACTCCTAGCTCTGTGTAATTCAGGGAGATATATGCATATGCCCATGAATTGTTTAACTGTAGAAATGTCTTTTATTCCTGTATAGCAGATGCACAAAGGGAATGGGAATGTTTTATAACTCAGGCTTTTAAATAATAAATAAATGCTGACATTCTCACTTGAGACATCTTGATTTTTGCGTACTGTGTAATACTGAAGTATACAAATATTTCTTTAGAGAGAATTATTTTCCCCTTTTTAAAAAGAGTATAAAACCTCAAGAATATGATAAAACATCACAGTTGGCTTCTAAATGCTTTGCATCTTAATATGGTTGAAGTTAAGGCAGTAAGTAATTTCTGAGTTTTTCCCTTGAGCTGCGTAGTTCTTTTCATATGTAATTATTCTCTGAGTGCATTAGATAATGCTATGGTTCCCACAGCTGTATACACATCTATAAATCATTAATGAGGCAGTTAACTGAAACAAAACTATAAAAGATTTGCATTACCCGGCAGAACCCAGCCTTAATTGACTTCCAGTTATTTACAATTAATTTTTCCATTTGGAATAATGATTTCAAGCAACTTAGGGTTTTTTACGACTGAGGAACGAGATGCTGACTATTCATCAAAAGTTTTTACAGAGGGACCCTGTCAGTGGACAGTAATGAGCTGGAGGTAATCTGATTTTTACACGCACATCCACACCCCCACACTGGCAGAGGAGACAGGGTGGGAGGGGGCACGTGCTGTAAAATGCAGTAAAATGCAGACAGGAGCCAGCACAAACTTTTTTTTCCTTTTTATCACATACCTAAGTTTAACAACAATTAATTTCCTTTCTTTATAGCATCCAGCTGAAAGGCAACATGATGCACAGAGCTGGCTACAGTTCTACACAGAATAAACTGCATGAATGAAGAGTAAATATTTATTTCTATCTTACAAGACCGTAAGATAGACACAGAGGAATAAACAATGCAAAGGCTGTCGAGTAAATATTATTCCATTATGCTATTTAAAAATTACTTTTATAGAGATCTAGAGCACAAAGTAAATCCTCATTAAGTTGTCATTGTTTGAGTAAGGCCCAGGATCGGGGCTGTGTGTCAGAACCCTGGACAAGCACAAGGAAAAGATCTGCTCCCTGTGCCATGTAAGCATAACTCTCATTGACATTAATGGCCTGGGGATGTGTTCATCAGGAAGGGATGTCACGTTCAAATTCCTAATAAAACTTAAGTCAAAAATCACCCGGGCCCATTTGTAGCAGCTGATGTTATCTTCATCCCCCTGCAGTCCTCCTTTTCCAAAATGTCTGAGCACATAGGGCCCTTCAGTGGTAATTCCTGGTTGTTCTCTGGTTCTGAACCACAGCAAGAAAATGAGTAAAATCTTATGTATTGGGATGCCCTGTATTAGAACTGCTATTCTTGCAAATCAATCCTTCCCTGAGACTGAGCAGATGATTCCCCCTTGCTACCCTTACTGGGTACAAGCTACATAAAATAAGTATTTGGGTTGGTTTCTGGTCTCCCCCTCAGATATAGCTGTGGTGCTGAGGAAGTAAAATGACCTGCTTTATTTTCTTGTTTAAAATAACTAATTTTGTCGTCCTTTTGAGTTACATTTAACACTGTCTCTCTCCCCTCATGAAAATTGGCTGCTCCAAGGCAGGACCTGCAGGTGAAACACAGGGAGGGCAGTGCCAATGAGCATTAGGAGCTTGGATTTCTGTGTACTTGGTGTAGACCAAGAGACAAACACTGGTAAATATGGGAGAGTTTAATTCTGAGTGACAGCAAAGCTCTCTGCCTTATCAATGGGTGCCAAAAAAAGGCCACTCCAATTGATCCAGGAAATGTGGCCCCTGTGACAATGCAACACTGGTAACCTTGAAAATCTTGCAGTCTCGTGCTGAAGTCATTTTTCCCAGGTTCTGTTCCGCTGGGCTGTGTTACAATGTGTAAAGTAACGTGACAGGACTAGACATGGGTCATTCAGTCTGTCAGTAATTCCCAGCTTGGCAAATTGGTCCTCCCTCTTCACCAGTCCATGAACTTCACAGATACTTAACTTATTCATGCTACACTGGCTGCTGCATTATTTTAGCTGGAAAAGCTACTTCCATGTGTGAAATCGGGGAGGTTTTTTCTTTGGAAATTGGGCTGGTACCAGAGGAGCAAACAATATTATTATTTTCATTAAGATATCACATTCTGTCAACACATAACATTGGCAATTGCATTTCAAATAATAGTGTGCTTGACAAATTGTACAGTATTAATTTAGACTGTGCTTTTGCTGTGTCCACGATCCTTCTTACTGGGCTTGATTTCCTGGGGTGGAAAAGGCTCTTTTTGTAAACTCAGAGCTCCAGGAACTTTTTATGCACAGAGGTGATATTGCTAACATTGATTTTCTTTTTTTTCAAAGGGTGCAACTATTTTAATAATTCTAAAACTGAGGAGTCCATTGCATTTCAGAAAGTATTAAACTGATCAACCACTTTCTATACCAACTCTGATCAGAGTGTGTTACTGTCTGCCTTCAAACAGTGCAAAAGGAATACCCTGGCTTCGGAGCTTCTTGACAGTTTGCTTTGAAGGAGCCAACACCAATTTCAGTAAAAACAGAACTTTCATTTGGTGGAAATTTCTGTTCATTTGAAAAACTAATAACTACCAAAAATATGCAATTTACTTACCAGCTCTGTTTTAAGTCAGGAACCTCAGTCCTGCAGGGTTTCTCCTCAGAGTTCTCACTTTGCCGTGGCTCCTTGAGGCACTGGGTTTGGTTTGGTGTCAGAGCCAGCACCTCTGAATCTGGGCTGTGAATTAAACACAGTTCCTTTTCTCTTCTTCCTTTATTCTTTCCCCCTACCCCACATTAGTATGAGCTGACCATGACATACTAGAAAAAAGAAAGAATTACAGTCGGGGTGCGAGGAATCAATTTTTTCCTTTAGAATGGAATCTCGGTATTAAACTACCAGAAAAAAAGCCATGAAAGGAATCAGTGGTTTTTCCACTGCTTTGCACATTGTAGAGTCATTTCAACATTGTAATACAGGTGTCAAACGTTAATAAATCAGCTGTCAGATGCCATCACACACTTACTTTGCACAGGTGTAAATGATCGCATAAAATGCAAAGCACTGATCTGACACCAAAAATCTCTGTGTACCGTTTCTGTCTTCAGCAGCTTTATAGAACCATTAAGAAAATGTCCAATAGGGAGTTTATTCCTTATTATTTAAGTTACCATCTTTTCTGGGTCTACTTTCTTACTTTTAGGAATGTGGTTTCCCCCCTGCCCCAGCTGACACCAAGGAAGAGAATGCAACGATTTGTACGGAATTGCTTTGGACTGATGTACAAAGAACAATATTATGTTTCATAATTATGTTCCAAATGATAAAGGATTTTTCCTGCCAAAACCTCTCTGTAAGTGCCCCAGCATCATCAACTGATGGCAGCACAGCTCTGGGAATAAACAGACTTTCAGCTAATGGCAGGAATCGTCAGGGGAAACAGCAAACAGGTATTTCTTCCTGATATAGAATGAAACATATGATTAAAGTTAAATGCCAAATCCTACTGGCACTGGAGCGAATTAAGGCTTATTTTTCATTCCTGTTTATTCTCTGCTCTCTTTTTAGCTAATTCATCTTGTTTCATTTAATGCCAATGGTTTTTCCTTTCTATTTGGCCACTTTGGTGGGAAGGGGGGGCAATTCATTTTGGGCATGTGGCTTTGGGTAACAAGATTAAAGCTTCAGGCAAAGCCCAGATCCTAAAATGAGCACTCCATGCTGTATTCAGCCCTCCAAAGGAAGGGGGCAATGCACTGTGACCCCAAACAGTTCTTTACCACAGTTCTGGCACTGTCCCAAAGGCGTCTGTGCCCTGGTGCTGTGGTACACCCACATGCTGTGACACTCAGCTGCTAATGCAGTGTTTAAATCAGGCTGTTTTACAGCAGAAACACTCTTAATAACCTCAATATAAGGTGTACTGCACTGCAATGTTTATTATGAGGGAGCTGTGATGCAAACCTTGTTATAATGAAACCGTGTCTTCACCTAAGAATTCAAAATTATTGAGTTTCTCTCCATCATCTTATTTTAGACTTTTTTTTGGTGAAAAATAAATATGTCTGGCTTACTATGGGCTGACTGGGGCACACAATGATTAATTAAAGCTGGACTGATTTTGTATAGTTCAATATGAACGTGTCACTTCTCTGGCTGGTTCATCTCCATCTTCCCTCGGACCGGCCAAAATTTATTCCAGAATAGTGGGCACTTGCTCTGTTACCAGGAGCAGCAGGTGTGTAGATATGTCTGTCTGTCTATCTATCTGTCTATCTATCTATCTATCTATAACCCATGTAAGACTGTTGTTTCAAAGATAATGACCTTAAACAAGGTGCTGTCCCATCTGAGTTGACAGAGCTGGGTTGCTCTTGCAGCTCACGTGGCAGAAACACCAGCCAGGAAATTCCTGTGGGGAGCTTTGAGCTCTGAAAAGCGAGAAATTACATCTCAGACAGCAAAACTCTCTCTTTCTCCCACAACTAATCCCTCTTGGAGACAGCCAAAGAACTGGTAGATGGTAAAAGGGTATTCACTACTGCCCAGGGAATACACATTTCAGTGTAGTTTTTGAAAAAGCTGACATGCATTTTCAAACATGCAAGGCCAAATGTACTTTTTAAAAGAGTGTAACTATTATAAAGCATCCAATTTGTAAAGTATCAGTTATCATAAGAACATCTTAATATATGGCGTTGTATTTGCTTTATGTCAACAGAATCATAAAATGAAGATGTAGTAAAACCTTACTATACTTTTAACTGGAACTCAGAATAATGAGAGTCTTTATTTTTATAAAATGAGCTCCAAAAAGCACTTTTTTCCCTTCCTTAGATTCCCACACCCAAACATTCACGCAAAGGATGGTCTGTTCCAACAGAAGATCTGAACAGGTTCAGGTCTAATGGCAAGGGTGGCTGCAACCTGCAGCATTTGTGCTCTGCCGGCACAATCAAAGAAATCATTTCAATTGATTTCTTTGATGTACAAATACAAAGCAGTAGCAAATCATTATCCATCTAGAAATACATCATTATAAAAATACTTTTCTTCCCCTCCTCCTCCATCCCATCTTCAATTCATCAAAGACCTCCCTATTTGCATATAGAACTAAAGTCAAACTGTTTATTAACAGTGATTTTAAAAGTGCCTAAACATTTGTAGTATGTGTTAAAAACTATGAGAGCACATGACCTGGCTTAAAAAAAGCCCCTCTGTGAATTCATTTCCCTCTCTGTCCCTCCTCACCCCATCCCAGCAAGGACAGCAGTGCAGGTGGACGCTGTGGGACCGCAGCTGGAAGCAGCAGTAGGAAAGTGGGAAGTGCCTCCATCAGCATCGCTGCCAAAGGTAACAGATCCAAGACCAGGCTGGGAATTGTCCCGTGTGCATTTAGGGCTCAGTCTGTGCACAGGCACAGGAGTGGTTGTGGACATCAGCCGAGGCTGTGAGGGAAATTTGCAACAATTCAGGTTAGCCCACATTTTGTCAGGGTACCAAAAATCGTCCGTAAATACATTTATTATTGGGCCACTTACTTGTAGGTAGCAATTACTTAGAGCAGCGCTCAGGTTTTAATGCACAGCCTGCATTTCCAAAGGAGAGCATTCTCACTGGGCACTGCTATAGATCCAGCTTCACCTGGAGATTGGTCACTATTGATCCTGCTGGGGTTTATTGTGGCAGCAGTTTGCATTACACAGGATTCACAACAGGGCTGCAATAGTGGCCATTAACCTGCCTGTGTTTAGCCAAGATCACCTTGTGTCCAGCCACCACCAGCTCTGCTGGCACCGAGCCATTCCAAAGGCCATTCCCACACAAGGAGATGCTTTGTAGGGACCCAGAGCTGCCAGAGGCAGATGCAGAGGGGCTGTGGGTGCTGCACCCCGACCTTGGCAGTGCCCCTCAGGCTGCAAACACCCCCAGCTCAGCTGCCAGCAGCCCAAACCTGCAGAGGATGGGCTGTCAGTGTCCCTCTGCTCCACGTCCAAAAACAAACCCAAAAGCCAAACCCTCCCAGAGGTCCTGTCCCTCCCTGGGTACCAGCACTGCAGCAGCTGAGGCTGTTCAGCTCATGGCCTCAGGTGAGGAGGAGTGTGGTGGTGAAGGCTGAAGTGCCTCCTGTCCTGCTCAACCCTGGGATGGCTTTAACATGATCCTTCCACAGAAAGTGCTCGTCAGACTGTGCTCCTTAGGCTGAGCTGACACCAAAAACCTCAGTGCTTTGGTCTGTCAATACTTATCAGGAGCCCCCTAGTAAGGACTGAACACGTTCAGTCTCTCAAGTTTATGAGTCTCCTAAACCTCATTTGTCAGTACTTTGATGTTTAAAACTAGTCTGTGATGGGCAAACCAGAAATCAACACAGGCTTTCAATGCTGCCTTGTGTAATGTGTACATCAGCCACCAAGGAAAAAAGTGCTCAAACAGCCTTTATGGAGATTAAAGAAAAGTGCAAAAATGCTGGTATTTTAAAGAATGAACTATTTAGTTACTTTAAGTCTTTCTAAACTCACGATACTTGATAACTCAGCAAAGACCTCCCTTCTCAGGAGCAACTACCAGCACCATCAGTCAGAAATGCTGCAGCATCCCAATGACTGTTTCAACTCCTTTTTAAAAAATAAGATTTAGACATAAGGTCCAACCCTCACTTCAGAGAATCACAATGGAATTGAAACTAAAATTAATATATATTCAAAGGTGGAGTTCAAGTTTGGGTGCTGCAGTGTTTTAGTCACACATGAGCTTTTATTAAGGGTCAGGAGGACTCACAATTCCTAATCCTCCTGTTTCTTTGCATTATTCAAGTTTTGATTGTTTGATCAATGGCACCGTGATTAATGCAGTTATTAGAACACGTGCTATAAAATTACTGTGGAACAAACCAATTCTGTACCCTGAAATAATATTCTGATTAGTCCTTTTATCACCGGTAAAACAGAGGCTAATATTTTCTTGAACTGACACTGGTTAAGCTAAAAGATTTCTTTTAGGAACAAAAAAAAAATCAAGTGATTCTATTCTGCTGTGTCACAGAGCACAGTCTGACTGCAGAAGTCTGCTAACGAGAAAAAAATGTAGTGCCAAAAAGAAAAGAAATTTTGAAAATTATACATATAGATGTAGTCAGGAATAAACATAATCACAGGAAATAGATTCCCTATTGCTCTATTTAAAGGTACTTTTTAAGTGACAGAGATTTAATTCAGGGTATGTGCGTGTAAACATGGAGTTTTTAAGTAAATAAGCATTGTGCCTTTGACCCAGGACTGAAAGTAAAGAGGGAACAGGTGATCACTTAATTCCACCTGACTTAAATCACCTTTCAGTCCCATGTTTTGAGAAGGGAATGTTTCAGTTGCAAAGTTCAGAATTTGGAACATACAATAATTAGGAAAATGTTTAATACCAACCCACCCTCTTTATTAAGTCATTTCTTCAAGTATTTTTAATAGTGCAAAATACTGGTTTGCATTAGTACAGTTACTATGGGAATTCACAGTCCAAAAAAAAAAAAATCTTAAAAGATTTCCAAAGTCAAACAAAAAACTTTTTAATACTGTATTTTTAGCAAGAACATTTTTAACAAAGAATGTGTACTTTAACTTAATATGGTACAACAGAGAAACCATACTTAAAAGTTTCCATTATCTAACACTCTACTGCATATTCATTTTTCCATCTTAAAAGACCAAAAGCCAAGCTGAACTGAGCATTAAAAAAAAAAGCATCAATTATAATCCTCATATTACGTCAGCTATTAGGGTTTAGCTCACACTTTTGAATTGGTCATCTAATGAAAGGACAATTTTTACATCGTTCTTTTAAAAAATGTACACACATTTCTTTTTAAAACGTAATATATATCGAGTATCTGCTTCAGTAAACAAAGCTTAATTTATAAACACAGTCGAAACAGCTCCATGTTGAACAGTTTCAGTGATAAACTGGACTTGTTTGATGTACAGCCAGTGCAGGACCGGTGTGGCTTAAAATCATTGTGCCTTTGCTATCCAGTAAATAGCCACCTCCTAAGGAAAAAAAAAAAAGTTCTTTTTGGGATGGGCTGGGGAGGGGGAATAATTCCTGTATGTGCTTAAAAATACTAAAACTCCTTTCTATCTCCGGGGACCTAAAAATGATCTGTTGTAACAGGCTTGGTTTGGTATGGTAAGCTTGTAAAAAGTCTCAGGATGTCTTAATACGGCAGTTTTTCAATGCAGCAACAGTAAATTGCTTGGAATTGTCCTTCAAGTTTCATGCTACAAATCCTGTTCCTCACACAGTACTGAAGGCATCAAAGGTTGGAAGGGACATTTCTCAGGAACTATATAGTCTTCAGATAGTGGTCATTATACATTTTTCAACAGTAGGTGGTTCCTTCAGTACATGATGGTCGGTTTGATGTATGTTCTGTTTTCTGGAGGGGAAAAAAAATGACACAGTTAAAACATTTTATAATTAACTGACACTTTGGTGGCTTCCTCACTTTTTTGT